GGCCTCCAAGGGCTTTCTATGGGGAAAGTATCAACCATGCATGGGAATAAGCAGCCATACATTCTGGGGAGGGCGATGGAGAAGGGGGTTAGAAGGATCCTCAGGTTTTGTTCATTGTATGTGTATCTTTTGAGTTCTTAATAGAGTCGTAGGTGTTAGGTCGAAGGGAAGCCCAGGAGCGGATGCATGCCACTGTAAGGCAGATGGTGGCGGAGATACTGGACCCTCCCTGTAATTCCTAACAGGTCAACGTGCCAGACAGATGGCGACACAGACTCCTTCCCGGAAACCGTGACGACCCCCATGGCGGGAACTCTCACAGCTCATGAACCCAGCCCCTCACTAATCAGCTGTATAAAAAAAAAAAGTGCCTCCCTCCCTGGCGCAAATTCACTGGCCACGCCTTTGGGACTTGTGAATTTCACCGGGGAATGCAGATTAAAGCTTCTCTTTTCCTCCTTTCTGACTGATTCGGCTCTCTTTGTTTCCTGTGCTATGAACTTATTATTAGGCAAATAAGCATTTGCTTTATTATTATCTACCAGAGGCCTGGTGCATGGATTTGTGCACTGGTGGGCTCCCTCAGCCTGGCCTATGCCTTCTTGCAATCCAGGACCCCTCAGGGGATGTCAGACTGCTGGTTTCAGCCTGAATCCCACAGGCCATGGCCCGAAACTGGCAGTCTGACATACCCCGAAGGCTGTAGTAGTGTATGAAGCAAGCGGCCGGCAGTTGGGGAGGATCCCAAGCCCAGGCTGGGCATGGGGCTGTTCCCACTCATCCTGGATCTGCTGTGCCTGCTGCCACCGCTGCTTGGTAAGCTCACTGAGCAATGCTCCCACTGTGGGAGCACACTGACCACCAGGGGGCAGCTCTTGCATTGAGCGTCTGCCCCCTGATTGTCCGTGCGCATCATAGTGACTGGTCAACCCGTTGTTTGGTCATTTGGTAGCTCGGTCACTTGGGCTTTTATATATATAGATAGCTTTTTGGATGCCTGGGAATATTTGCTATTCTGTACGGTGCATACTTCAGGAGCAGCTGTGAGGTGAGAAAGAGGAGAGCAGGTGTGCAGGTCTCTTTCAACAATTTGCTGTGACGGCAGCAGAGACATTGACTGGCACTTGGTGAGGGCTTGGGGTCAGGAAGCTATTAGGATGGTGCTCTCTATAGTAACTAGTTTCCCCTTGTTAACGTAAAAACATTCCAACCTGTAAAGAATTTTTTTTGTGAGTTTATTTGAGCCAAACTATCAACAATTGCCAGGAAGCAGAATCTCAACATATTGGGATAATGTCCGGAGGCTGGCAGTTTTTCACCTCGTTTTATACAGTGCAATCAAAAGTGGAGATGTAAGTGGGTTGCATGAAATCCAGTGGATAGATTAGGGGGCGGGTGGGAGAAAGCAAAGCAGGGAGACCTCTGGGATTGGATAAAATAAAGTAACAGGCGCACGCTTCTTTTACTTAGGTGGGTGCAGGATAGTTAACAGTCAACAATTAACTCAATAACAATGAGGGGATGTGCGGTCTCACAGAGCGGTGCCTGTGCTTTAACGGGTCTGGAAAAAGGCAATAACCATGAGGGGATGTGCGGTCTCACAGAGCGGTGCTGTGCTTTGATGGATCCGAAAAAAGGGAAATTACTGTGACATTCCAACGATATGCTATCATGGATGCAAAAAGACAATAGGCTCAGTTAAGGTAAAGATTGACCTTGTCGGGGAAGATACCAGCCTAGGACATGACTACCCGCCATAAGTGCTTTTCGTTAAAGTTTTCATTCCAGACCGTCCTTTGAGGTTACTTTAGGTCTTTGAGTTTGCAAGGCCGCCAGGTAGGCCTCCTTCTGGGCAGAACTGCTTTATAAACACCCGAGCCAGACCAGGAACACAGCCAAGCGCAGTTCTATATTTCTGGGGATTCAGGACAGAGAGCAGATTCGGTACAAGATCCAAGCCTTGGACTTGGAAGAGAGGATGAAATCCGAGGAGCTGGGGAAGTTTCCCCGAAGCCATGGATGGAAGGCAGAGTTTATGGGCACAGATGCTGGTGGTGGGTGGAGTCTTTTGTGATTGCATCATACTTCTTGATGAAATATGAAGTGATCATCTGCGAGTGAGCTGGGAAGAGATGGTGGCAGAAGCTCTAGAAGTTGCATTTACTCTTGAAAGTTTGTACAATTGCTAGATAAAACTCATACCCCACATGCTGGCCGGGTGTCCCTCCACCCAGAAGTGAGTTAAGCCTCAACACCTGCTGTGAACCTCCTGCAGAATCAGGGTGGGCGTTGCCAGGATGTTGAGGCTGATGATGCCACACACACACTTTCAGTGTGCGGATTAGCGCACTCTCTGGTGTCGAAAGTACTTGATGGGAGGTGTGCTGGTGGGAGGGGTGTGGATTCCTGAACAGGGAAGCAAATAAAAATAACATGTTCCTGTCACACTGCCCATGCTGAATATTGACATGGCAAGGACAGACATTGCAGTCTGTTCTCCACTCAGCAGGCAGAGGGAACCTGACCTTGTCGTTCCCTGCTTAGCTTCCCAGGTCGCTCAGCACGCAAGATCCAGTCCTGGCAGGGGCTTGCGAGGCCTCACACAGCCTGGCTCCCCCTTAACTTCTGACCTCACTTCCTGTCTCCCTCCCTCTTCCTCTCATACCTGGACTGTACCTCCTTTTGCTTCCGGAAGTCTTCAAATCGCACTCGGTATATTCAGTTCTTTACCTTATTTGCTCTTCCCTGACAGCCGTAGCTCCAGGAGGACACATATGGTGGTCTAGTTTGGCCCCTGCTCTGACTCATACCTACACCCACGCCACAAGGTGGGCCTTCAGGACAGGTTTTTGGAAGAACTGAACATCTGTCCATTGCACGGATGAATGCTTTTCTGAAAACCACCTTCTTGTCTCCATTAGAAGTTAATGTTTACCCTTTTATTATATGACTTTTATCTGATTTCTTATGATCTTTACTCCGCAGAGTGCACATCCCATTCCCGAATTGAATGGTGAAGCGTCTTCCGTTACCCCACAGTGGTGGATCCGTGGCCGGATTCTACACCTACAACAGCAGGATTCCCCCCCTGACTGGGAGAGGGAAACATTGAGATGCAGTTTCAGTTTCTTGTAAAACAAAGGCAGTTTCAGTTTCCTCTAAAAGGAAACTTATCTCATTTGCTCTCGGCATCCCTGGGGGCGAGGCTGCTCCGCCTCCTGGATGTTGTCACAGCTCAAACCCTCAGGCAGAGTCAGTTCTGCATTTCAGAGAATCCTCTTCTCTAGGTAAGACATGGATTGGGGAGGGGAGGGGGGGGGCTGCCCCTTTCATGGCATGGGATGGCCTGTGGGCTCAGGGAGTGGAGTGCAGACCCCTGTGGGTCCACTCACAAAATACCTTGTTTCTCATCAGAGAAAAGGGGGGGAGGGGCTCCAGCCCCCAGCTACCCCCCCCTCCCGGCTCTAGGACTCTGAGGACTACGCCTCATCCATTCCTGGGTGGGGGTGCGACAGGCAGGGGTGGGGGAAGAGAGGGGAGGAGACCAGTTAGGTTTAGAAGGAAGCAGATCAGAGCCACACCAAGCCGGAGCTTTGGGAGCAGCTGAACCAGGGTTGGTGGCACTTTTTTCTTTTTTTAATATGTTTTTATTGATTTCAAAGAGGAAAGGAGAGGGAGAGAGAGATCATCAATGATGAGAGAGAATCATTGATCAGCTGCCTCCTGCACGCCCCCTACGGGATCAAGCCCACAACCCGGGCATATGGCCTGGACCGGAATCAAACCCGGGACCCTTTAGTCCATAGGCTGACGCTCTATCCACTGAGCCAAACCAGCTAGGGCTCTATGGCACTTCAACATAAAGTCCTTGCAACCTTGGGTGAATCCCTCACCCTCTCTGTGCCAGACAATGTTTTCTTATTGATAAAAGGCAGATGGTGCCCTAACCAGTTTGGCTCAGTGGATAGAGCGTCAGCCTGCGGACTGAAGGGTCCCAGGTTCGATTCTGGTCAAGGGCATGTGCCTTGGTTGCGGGCACATCCCCAGTAGGAGGTGTGCAGGAGGCAGCTGATCGATGTTTCTAACTCTCTATCCCTCTCCCTTCCTCTCTGGAAAAAATTCAATAAAATATATTTTAAAAAATTATATATATAAAAGGCAGATGGTGATCTCAGCCTTACCATTGTGCCAGTGGAGAGATTGCATCAGAGCGGGAGCCCAGAGTAACCCTTCAAAGTGGAATCAGTTCTGGTTTTCTTTTTCTGTTTTTTTTAAATATGTTGTTATTGGTTTCAGAAAGGAAGGGGGATGGAGAGAGATAGAAACATCCTATCTAATAATAGACAAACATGGTAATTGGCTGTACCTTCGCTATGCCTCCCATTGGCTAATCGGCATGATATGGAAATTAACTGCCAACAAAGATGGCGGTTAATTTGCATACATAGGCTCCAAGCAGTGGAGTAAAGCCTGACAGCACCAGGGCAGCAGAGCAGCGAGGCCTCAGGGCCCGGGGCCGGTGGAGCAGCGAGGCCTGATGTTTCTGGGGCCGACAGAGCAGCGAAGCCTGATGTTTCCGGGGCCGGCTCTGGCTGGAACTCGGCCAGAGCGAAGGCCTGGGCCCCGGGTGCCGGAGGCAAATTGGTGCCAGCAGCCAGGGGAAAGGAAGACCTTTTGCATGAATCTCTTTGTGCAACAGGCCTCTAGTCAGTGATAAAAGAGAATCATGGATTGGCTGCCTCCTGCACGCCCCACACTGGGGATCAAGCCCAAAACCCGGTCATGTGCCCTGATGGAATGGAACCGTGATCTGCTGGTTCATAGGTCGACCCTCAGTCAGCCAGCCCGGCTTGATTTTCTCATTCTGGTGCCTTTAAGTGGCCCCATGGAGATTGAAGGGAGTTCTAGAAATATCTAAGGAGTCGATGTGTTTTCAGGCGGAAGGAAGCCGTCCACCTGAGGAAATAAAATCTACCCCATCCACCTCACCCTCCACTTCCATCCCCCCAGTTCCCACCCCTGGGCCCTTTCCAGGCCTGCTGCCCCCCAGGCTCAGAGAAGCCTCTCAACCACCCCTCCCCCAGCCCCTGTAGAGGCGGTGGGGAAACCCCAGTTCCAGTGTCCCTGTCCCTGACGCAGCTTCTTGCAGGTTTGGCTCCCCCGAGTGCTTATTGCTCTGTGCACCATGGAAGGCGTCTTGGCCTCTTCCGTCATTGCCAAGATCCTGTCAGCAGCGAGCATGGCCAAAGCTGGGGCGGCCTCCAGCAGTGTCCTGGCTGGGCTGTCATCCATGGGTGAGCGTTCCTGGGAGGGCCGCAGGGGGCAGGAGGCAGCTGGGGAGGAGGGCCAGGGAGCGTCCTTCCTGCTCAGGGCCCCACAGGGAGGGAGAGAGGGGTGTTCCTGCGGGGCCTCCCGCTGGGGGTGTGTCCTGGCTGGTGAAGGGGCAGGCTCGGGGTCCGGGTGCCCTCCCGACTGGGCCTGGACTGAGGGGACCCCGCCTGGGTCCCGCTCCCTGGCTCTCATCTCCCCCGGCTCCACCCCCAGAACTCACCTCCTTTAGTTACTTTGTTTTTAAATGAAATTTGGTTTATTTTATTATTATTATTATTATTTTTAATCCTTATCTGAGGATATTTTTCCATTGATTTTTAGAGAGTGGGAGAGGGAAAGACAGAGAGAAATATCGATGTGAGAGAAACACACCGATTGGTTGCCTCCTGCACGAGCCCTGACCAAGGCCTGGGTGGGTGAGGAGCCTGCCCTTGACCAGAATCGAACACG